AGACCCATTAGACATTAAGGACTGATCACTAGAATCAAAATTCAGTACTGTGTGATTAACTTTGGTCTTTCTTGCCTTTTTTTGAAATATCTTTTCATTTCTTCTCTTTCTCTACTGCATTTTAATACTGTGGCTATTCATTACCATCATTGTATTTTTTTTTACATTGGTTTTATATCCTGAGTTCAGTTGGTACATTTCCTCTGTAAGCGTGCTTCAGTTTCCTACACCTTAATGTATCTTTATACACCTTAAAATATATTACAAACTGATTTGACTCCTACTGAAATTGCCAGGCATATTCCAGTGGATTTGAATATAGTGGCCTTAGCCCTTGAGGATTTCTGAGCATACAAAAAAGGACATTCTGGACCTTCTTTCAATGTATAAGTGGGATTGTTCTGATGAAATGTAGGTAAAAAGTCAGTTGCACAAGTGAAACAAACTTTTGTGCTGAGTAACATAATATCATTTAAAATCAAACTATATGTTTTTTCCAAACAATACAAAGCTTCTTTTATCTTGTTTTCAGTAGACTGCAAAGCACTGTTTGAAAAAGAGAAAATATAAAGTGTGACCTAAAAAGAGAACTATAGTAAGATAATTTTGCTGGTGCAATTTTCTTGTTACGTTACCACCTTTTTTTTTTCTTTTCTTTTTTTTCTTTTTTTTTTTTTTCCCCTTTACGGTCTATAATCTCTTATCACATCTTAAATATAAAGTAGAATTAAAAGTTTCTGTGTATTTTTTCTATCACTATTTCTGTATGCCTTAGAAAGCACTGTTAAAGTACACACAGTGCCTGCAGGTACTTAGAAGTACCTTAGTATTCTGAGTATTCTGATGCTCTGAAATAGCTATTTAAATATCTCTGAATGCAAACACTCAGTGTACAAGGATAACTTTAAAAAAGAAAATTATTCAAAAATGATGTTTTATATTTTGTTGGGTTTTTGTTTGTTTGTTTGTTTGCTTTAACTTGGCTGGCTTGTTTTGTTTTGCTCACCAAAGACTGGAAATAAGGAGGAGGAAGTGGTCTCAATAAAGCAGAAAGGACAGGCAAAAGATTAAAATAATGCACTTAAAATACAAGGTCAAATGTTTTCATAATTTTTTTTTCCCGTTTTTGACATAGTCATGGATGACTATAATTGAGATTCTTTGCGAGACTTTGATTTCCTGTAACCAACTGTTACTGTGATGTCCCTGAATTAATAATAATCTTATCATATAAGACCACTCATTTTCTTGGCTTGCTTTTTCAATATCTACAGTGCAGCTTGTTGCAGCCTTGCACATTGTGTTATTAACCAGAAAGAGCAATGGCTAGAGATGAAATCCTGCCATGCTACACCTTACCCCAACAGGCACAGGGCACAGAAACATTCCTGCCTGTGCCTGGGGAGGCTCCTGCAGCAGCCTCTGCCTCACATTCCTGCAAGCTCCTGGACCCCCCTCTTGCCAATAGATCAGTGCTGCACACTTCTTCTGTAATGGAGTCTGTGCATCAGCAGCTTATATTTACAGCCATATACGCTATATTTAGTGCCATGAATCAGCTTGTTTATAGTAATGCCATGATCTGCTTGTTTTCTCAAATGCAGTATGGCAGGAAGGTAGCAACAGGCTTTGTGCTGCAATCCTTAGTGGTTGGTGGGATTCAAGATTCCCTTCCCTCACTCCAAATGGATAACTCTTCTTCTAACTCTGCCATGCCTTCCAGGGCCTGGGTTTCCAGACTGAAGGAAAATCCCATTTGTCTTCTCTGATTCCTGGCAAAGCCCTCTGCTCTCCGTCTCCTCCAAGGTTTCACTGTGGGTTAGCTCCCTGTTGAAGGCATGTCCATCATCCCCCTCTGTTTTTTTTCTCGCCTAGTCTTTTCCATGCTGCTGATTTAGAGTACCTGGCAGAAAATAGAGAATTTTCAGCTGTTTGAACTCTTCTGAAAACAAAAGAAAAATAACTGCATACACAGGTTTTTAAACTAACACAGCAGAGTTGAAACTGTTGCTGAGTAGAAAGAGTATTTTGCTGTGGTGAGCCATTGATAAGCCTGTGTACAGCTGTACACAAACAAACCATTTTCTTCTCTTCTGTCGAGCTGCAGGCTCTTCAGGGGGTTTCTCTGTGCTTTCAGACTGAAATTTGAAGAATCCTTGTGGGAGAGGTGATCTGTCTTTTCCCTATCAGACAAGACAGGCCTGTAGTCACTAAATCCTGAAAAAGGAACTTGTGTTTTTTGAAGATCACTCTGATCTCAAATGTACCTTGCAGTTTGCATGCTTGTTTAGACTTGGTTATTTGCAGGTGAGCAGCCACAATTCTCATTCTGATTGAGAAATGAGGAGGGTTTATTTTAAAGGTAAATATCTGTCTGTCTCAAATGTGTGTAAATTTTTAGCTCGTTTCTACTTGTTAAGGTACAAAATAAAAATGATTATCCAGTATTTGGTGAGTTCACAACTGTGTGCTTCAAACTGTTTTGCTTTTTTCTTCCCCATTTGAATACGTTTCTTAAATTCCACTGAAGCATTTAAGCTAAATTGTGCAGGGAACCCATGTATGCAATGCTAGCTATGTACATCCCCTGATGAGCAATAGTAATATGAAAGGAACACTTAAAAGCCAGATGCAATGAAAATTTAAACATATTGAGTTCATAGCATGTGATAGTTTAATCATTATTTAAGCTTTAGAAATGTCATAGCATAATTACTTTAAGAATGAGTTCAGACACTTTCATGTGCAAAAAATTTCTTTCTCACTTCAACTTTTTTAGCCTCCTGAGAAATTTACACTCTTATGAATTTTCTGCACTTAATCACATCATTTGATCACAGGCAAATTTTCAGTGAAAATTCAAAATCTGAAAGATTAGCATATAGTCTAAAATATGTATTTTTAAACTAAGCCTGTATTTTCTTTGTGATCTTTAAATAAATCTATGAAAGTGTTTCTTTTATTAAAGAACAAGATCAGCAACAAACCCTGTTAAATGGAGAATGTCTAGAAGAACTTATTTGTGGAGTCACAGAATAGAAAGCTGCAGTATGTTGGATTTATAAGCAGCCATGCAGGATTAATTCAACTCTCCTAAGTATGTGATACATTTTTAATAATCTCTCAACGTATATGGAGCTGTCTCCTTCTGCACTTGTAAGGAAAGGACAAGGACCAGAACTTACTTTCTTAATTTCTCCTATACCTGGAATATGATTAATTAGATCGACTTGGCAATTAATAATCTACGTTGTTATATAAAATAGTGTCATAACCACTGCCAGCACTTCAGTGTGAACATTTCCACTATTATACAGCATACTGCAATTTTATTTTATTTTTTAATAATATGAGCCATCCCGGTTGGATTTTGAAAAATGTCAGTTATAATGAGTCTGCCATTTCTGAGGAACAAGCTAGGGAAAAAATATTTTCCATGTAAATTTTGGAGAGGAGGAGGGTTGTTTGCACATTTTTAAAATGGAAATCTTTGTAGAGCAGCTGTACATCCTCTTAGCAAAGACTTACAGGATGTAAAATTTGGCATTTGTATTAGAGATGTATTGGGAATTATTTACCGTAAAATTCACTGAAATTTGACCATTGTAATTCTCTTTAAAACTGAACTTTTCATGTGTTCCATCAGAGCTATATCAATGTTATTGTTTGCCATCCCTTAAGCTTTGTACCACCTGCTGTGCTCTCGTGAGCGTGTTTGTGCTAACCAGAACCTGAACGTCTCATCCCTGTGGAGCTGCTGGATATGGACTGTAGGTGTTTGGGTGAAACCACGCTGCCTTGTAGTGTGTGCAGTGCCCAAGGCCTAACCCTCGTCATTTCTCCTCTGTTACTTCCCTTGGTGGACCCAGACACCATGGCAGGCAACTAGGTCTTGGAAAACTAGGAGACACTGATCAGAGATGGCATAGGGTGTGGGGCCTTTGTGTGTGGGGCCAGGAGGAACTCACCACCAGCAGTACAAGGGCCTGTCACTGACAGGGCTGGGGAACAAGGCTCTCCCTGCCCAGTACATGCTCTCACAGCCAAAATCAGAGAGTCTGCTATGTCAGAGTGATGCTATGTCAACGCTAACAAACCTAATGAAGAGGTTGCACTGGCACAGATTGCCCAGAGATGTGTTGAATACCCCATTCCTAGAGACAGTTAAGGTCTGGCTGGATGGGGCCGTGAGCACCTGATCTAGCTGTAGGTGCCCCTGTTGATTGCAGGGGAGTTGGACTAGGTGACTCTTAGTGGTCCCTTCCAAATGATTCTGTGATTCTACAGTTCTACATATATGGGAACAAATATGGGAACATCTTAGTTTCACAGAACAGATAGAGGAATGTTAGTGTCACTGTTCATTTTCCTGATGCTGCAAGCACCTTTTGGTTTGGCAGCCCTCATCTGAGATCATTACCTGTGCTCCGCTCTCCTACTGTGTGCGTCCATGAGGGGAAAGATAAGGTAGGCTGACAAAACAGTCATCAAAAATTCACCAAGATCAGGGTGAGCCCGACATGATGAGAGGAGCTATTAATATTTTAACAGCTGTCATCTATCTCCACAGGCACCGAAGTATTGCATCCCTGTGTGCATGCTACAGTCAATAGATGCCATGCGCTGGGGCATGGGGAAGGACAAATTGGCATTTCTCATACTGACCAGCGGGGTGTAACTAAGTGAAATGAACATGGCTTATGCAGGTGAAAAAAAAAAAAATTGTAAAGTATTCTGAGCTGAAAAACATGACTTCTTTATCAATTGGCTAAGGATTTCTTTACCAGATGGTTTGTTTTTCTTGAAGAAAACAAAAAAGAAAGAGTTGTGGTCTGTGGCTTGAACAGTGTAAGACTGATGACTGAGTGATAAAGAGACACTTTAATTTCCCTGACTTTTATTACTGAAAAGCCAAAATGTGGCATGCCGCTGATAATGTCAAATGCTACCAGGTGCATGCTTTTTCCCTGAGACTGATGGCTCCAACCTGTCCCTTGCAGGGCCCAGCCTCCTCTCGCAGAGTGCTCTGCAGCTCAACACCAAGCCCGAGGGCTCCTTCCAGTACTCGGCCAGCTACCACAGCAACCAGACCCTTGCCCTGGGTGAGACGGCAGCCGCCCCACTCCCAGCCCGCAGCACTCAACCCAGGGGTGCCATCCAGAGCTACAGCCAGGTAGGTGCCCTTTGCTGCCTTGCACTATCCCAAAACTACACCCAAAATCATGCAGGGGAACACTTAGGAAGGAGAACTGCCTGCCTTCCAATGCTTGCCTTTTTGTCTTGCTTGAGGCATCTTGCAGGAGGTTGAATTACCACTGTCATTTTCACATATCTAAAGTGGCTTGACTTTCAGGGTAATAAAGTAATCCTGATGAGAAAGGAGATTTACATGCTGTTTTTACTTGCTTGCTTGTATATTTGGTGGTCTAATGTTTAGTCATTTAAGTATGAAATTCTGTGCTGCTGAGGAGTCCCAGATAAGGTCAGGGCCTTGCCATGTTGGTATCAGATTATTACAGAAAGCACTTTCATGCCAGAGAACAAAAACAGAGCCAGGTTTATGCTAGATGCAAAATCTGCTTGGGACACTATGTAGCTTGGTGCTGTCATTCAATCCCATTTGTAAGAATCACTTTTTGCTTTTTTTTCTCTGAATTTTAAGATGAACAACTTATCAAATAGCCACAAGTACATTTCAAACTTTTTAAAATTTGTTTCAGATACTCATGAAAAGTCTGAGTGATTCCTTCAATTTCTAGCACATAACCCTCTTTCATCTTCTGTGCTTTCAGCTTAACATTAAAGCCTCTCACTTAAACCAAAATTAAACCAAAATTTCTGAAAGTATTCATGCTTCTGTACATAAACAAAGTCAGACTGGATGTTGTCAGCACAGGTTATTTTCTCTTTTTAGAACTTATCTGCCATGGTACAGCAGATCATTTCAGTGTGACACTAGGACATTTTATAATTCAAGATTCAGTGGGAGTGAGCTGCATTTGAATTTCAAAGCCTTAAATTGCTAAGAGATTTCAAGTATTATATAGCCATCACACAGCTTGTGGAATACCAGGAGACATACAATATTCCATTCACCCAATTTGCTCAGAAAAGCCCTCTTTCCTCTAAGACTGAAAAATTAAATAAAGCACAGTTAAATTTCATTTCAAACTGGGTTTGTACTTCTATCAAGGGTTTAAAATGTGCTCATGTAATGGCCAGGTCTCAGGATTTTTCGGTGTTTACTAGACACCTCCTTCCCTTATGCTGTTAGGGATGGAACCAGCAAAGGAGAGTAAGACTCCAGTTGGAAAGAAGAATGGCAGCTGTAATACTCAGTAGTAACCTGGGTACGTGTCATTAGAAGTTATTCTTTGTGAAAAGCTTCACACCCATGGTTAGCTGAAAGAGTGGGATGTATTCTGCAAGGAAGCTAGCAAAAGAAGTAAGATGATATAAAAGGAATAGGTTGTAAAATGAAAAAGAAGAGAGGAGAGTGGAAGGAGAAAATCTAAAAAACAAAAATCAGAATTAATGAGGAAGGAAGAGAAAGTATAAGTGTACAGTTCCTCATAGTTTCAAAAAAGTGATATTCTTAATATAAATTTCATCATCATAAAGAGAGAGAAAATCAGTGATCGACATTTCTGTTATTTAAATTACACTGAACCGCCCGCCATTGCTTAGTTCTGAAAAATGCATTAATCATTTAATTCATATGGAATTGGTTACCTTCAGTAAGGTAACCACTAAGTTACTAAAGTAACCTTTCCTATTTTATTTTCTTTGGTTTGAGAGGGCAGAAGATAAGGTTTCTTTCTGTATTTCTCTAGATTTTCTGGTATGTGTTCCAGCAGAGAAAGTACTAACAATAGTGTGTATCGATATCTTTCAAAAGATACTTGGCAGCTTCACTTAAATTAAAGCAAGTCTTCAAAATGTTAACAACCATATGAACTATGAATTAACATCATTAAAAAAAAAAAAAAAGAAAAGAAAAAGAAAAAGAATACAAAGTATTTTTAAAGAGTTTTGCAGGAAGACAAAGATTCAGTTAAAAAAATTCTGAATACAACCATTGCTGATCCCATAACTAAGGGGAAAAAAAGTCAATCCTTGGAATTGGTTTGCTATCCCTATTATAATTAAAGTAAGTCTCAGGAGTCATAATTGTTCAGATAGTGATAATTTCCTTTGTTGTTTGCTTGCAAGGAATAAGGAATATAGCTATCTCTGAACATGAATGATAGCCCAAATGTGTGGGAAAATATGTAAATAGTCCCAAGGCCAGCTGTGACAGCAGGAACAATTTCTGAAAATGCAATTGTATAAAAAACAGGAACTAATTAGTCTTGGGATTTCCTGTATAGAGCTGCAAAATACAATATAACATTTTTGTCAGTTTGGAGGAGTATGTCACAGATCATAGAGTTTTTCTACTGTTTTGACTACTTTAGAACACCAAACTTCTATTTTTTAAATGCTACAAGAATAGAATTTCTTAGCAACTGCTTCTCAAACAGGAAATTATTCTGTTTCTCAGCTGAAAACAGCTTCTCAGATTTGGAGTCCATGTCCTGATACACCCTATATTGATCAATTAATGGTATTTGCACAGAGTCTGTAATGGGTTTTGTGACAAAAAGTAGATTTTGCAGATGAGTGAGTGAACACTCTTTGGACAATACATAGTTTGTGAACAAATAATTGGGTTTATTGTCATTTTGAGAACGGTCAACTTACCTTGTAGATATTACAGGAATATAAAACACATCATGGAGTGCAAATAGTGGTTTTCAGCTTGTTCTACCATGTACTTGCAAGGGGAAGGGAAAGGAAGTGGAACGAATTAACACTTCTGGATGAAGATTTTTTTTTTTTAGTGTCTGCTGATCATGTGTTCTACTCAGAGGCCAAGGCAACAGGCAAGATTAATCACTATTGTGTTATTATCCCATGCTCCAAAATCATCTGGACATGCTGGCACAGACTTTGAAAACCATTTAAAAAGAAAAAAAATAGAAAGCCTTGAAACATTTGATTTTTGTCTCCATTTTCTTCCAACCAAGTCAAAAGTTAGTTATTCAACAGACCACTGCATCTCACTAGTCTTATTTAGAATGTAGGCAAAAGAGCACCAGAATGTATTTAGTTGCCAAGTAAAAACTGTATGCTGGTCCTTCTCAGTTAGAAGATGTTTATTCCTGCTACGAGTCAGGTGATGAGCAGCCTGAAACTCTATCCAGACAAAATCTAAAATAAGGACTTCCATTCTGGTAGGACGTGGCAGATGATGGGGTGTCTAAAACTGGGTTCCAGACATGGCCACAAGAAGTAAAGGAAGCAGATGAAATCTTGGGACAGATTATTCTTACTACAAACATTCCCAGAGAACAATTCACTAGAATAGTTTATGTTAATGAAAAAAATGACCTGCATGATGCTGGTTTAATCCTACAGTAGTTAATGATTGCAGCCAGCAGTGCTGCTTTAAAACCAAAGCCTGGCCATCTCTTGACAGCCTAAAGGATCTCACAAATTCTGTTTCTTGATGTAAAGACTGATGATATTAGCCAAGTTTATCTATATGAAATTCATCTGTATCTATAATCTTTGTGATAGGACAAGGTAGGCTGACACGTTTTCCTCATAGTGTTGGAGTATGCTTTGCAAGTACAGTGTAGAGATGATCTTGCATCATTCATGACCTTTGTGATGAAATTGGGAGAAAAATAAAACAGGTCACCGTTAAAGGGTTCACAGGTACAGTCAGCATCTGCTATCATAGAAGTGCATCTGAACATAGATGGTATCTTCCTGGTTAGGTCAGGAACTTACAAATGACATCGTAGCAGTCCTGCAGAAGAAAGATCCACCCACGGGTACTGCCGAAGGACTGAAGTCTGCATCACTAAGACTGGAGAATGTTAAGCATTTTCCATGTCTTCTGCCCTTTGCAGAAGAGCGCTGATGGAAGTTTTGGACCAGAAGAGAGTGATACCTTGAGTGAAGCCATATGGGGGCATTCTTTGAGCTGACAACAAACAAACAAAAAAGGAATCTCAATAAACTGAGAAGACTTTCAGTCATTGAAAGAGCACAGAACATCATGTAGACTATAAAAGAGAAGCTGAACACTTAAGAGACCACCAGCATCTCTCAAAAACCCCGATAAGCACAATCAAGTTTACTGCCTAAAGCTGACAACAACCACTGATGTTCAAGAAGCCAAAGCTGTGGTGTTTCAGCAGCCTAGAGGAATGCCTTCCACACAATCCAGTTGGAAAATCCTTCCTAGAATCCACAGAAAGGTCTCCTCATAGGCAACAGCGTGCTGTGATGGTGTCCATTATCACCAGATGCAGCATTTTTTTCCTGAACTTACCTATGCCTCAAAGAGACGTGCCGGGGTTTGAGACTTAAGGGCCAAGCAATCCCTGAGAGATTCCAGAGAGCAAAACAGTCTGAAATCTGGTTTATTTGTCCCTAAGCCTGCCAAGTACTAAAAACGCTTCTGGATACGAGTACATGCAGACTTACCCAAAGGTAACACAATGTTTCGGTTTCTTCTGTTCTCAGTCAGGGAAGTACAGAGGACACTGAGCACAAACCATAGTTTCTTAGGGACAACTGGTACCACGACACAAATCTTCCAGCGTGTTCCTGGAAATTTTATTTCATTTCCAAGAAATGACTCTGAAGCCTTTTGAGTTATATCTGAGACTCGGCCAGCTGCATTGACAGACATTCTGTTCCTTAGCACCTATGAAGTATAGATGTACAGAATCTACCAGGTTTTGGATTTGCATTTTGGCATGCTTAAGGAAAAAATAACGTGAAGGGGTTTTAGATGAAAACACATCTGCTGCATCTGCTAATATATCCATACCAGTCATTTGATTCTTTGAGACTTTGTGTTCAGTTTTTGCTGGTCTTACACACTTTTCTTCCCGCTGGGAGCAGCCTCCAAGAAACAACATGCTGACGTTTTAGTAATCAGCAGCTGACCCCAAAGTGTTGCTTAAGCTGTCTAACCGTTGAGGAACTTGTAGCTCCTTATCCATGAATAATTTCCAGCAGAATAAATAATTCAGTTTTTGTCCCTCTTGGTTCTACTTTATAAAACAGAAATCTTGTATCGCGCTGTCTTTCACTCCATCTTTTTCAGGTAAAGATCTGATAAAATGTTTTATTTAAATTGAATTATTAAAAAATAAAAAAATGGTAAGCTGGTGTCCTGAAACTTAGTGTATTAGAAACGTGAACGCCGACAGCCCAACATCAGTTAGACCATCAGACTACCATAACCTAACTGGAAACCCTCAGTGATTTTATGTACAGAGTTCTGCAGATCTTCTTTTGTCAGCATCAGTAGAAAATGATCTTTCTAATAACATTAAATAAAAAAATATTTTTCATACTTATATTCATATTCTCATGCTTTCTCACTTACTTCTGCTGTGAAAAAGGATACAACAGAACTCATACATTGAATCCAAAGAAGCAAAACAGAATCTTTTTGTATGGGATATCAGAAAAAAATGATATCTCTGAGAATTAGAAGAGATATCTGCCGGGCTGTAAGAAAGAAGTCCTTGATTTTTTTTTCATGTCTATGAAATAGATTGATGCATGAGGATAGAGCTACTGGAAAGCTCTCTATTTATTAGTTTAAGCACAGTTTCATTATCAGGTTGACAGCAATAACTGATAAATGGAAAAATAATGAAACAAATACCATTGTATTTCATTCTTCCAGATGAAGCATAGTGTTGGATCGCAGGATGAACAATGACGTATCTGTGTTGTTGTCTTAAGCTACAAGCAGGGAGAAACCTGAAACTAAAGTGCATTTTGCCTCTGAAAACACAACCGGAGAATGCAAATGTATTCGATCCTTTGGAAAAAAAAATAAGAACCTCACAATAAATGTAAGACAGGTCTGAGATTAGTCACATCTCCAAAATTACTGCATGCTAACGTTTCCTTGCAATCTGTTCATCCAAAGTTCTCTCCTTCACATGGAGCAAATGCTTGGCTTTCCACAAAGTGCTACACACTGGGTTTTTAATTAAGCATTTAATTCTTGTGTCTGCCACTACATCTTTTTCCCTGTAACAGACAATCAGAGAGTGGGATTTCTGGTTTTTGAATTAGTGCTTACAGAATGCCTACAGCTTTATAGAGATTTATTAGGAATATGGGATAATATCGGTTTACTTGAAATTAATTACTTTAAATCCTTGACACGTCAAGCAGTGTAAAAGTGGATTAGAAAAAGAAATAATGCATACATGTTGACAAGGATTGCCTAAAATCCATAAAACCAAGTTATCAGTGTGCGGGGAACACCCTGGTAACAGTCTGTATTATTGCATTTTGGAGCTATTTTGAATATCAGAAAATAAATTATAATATTGGTCCATTTTAACTGTTCAAAAAAGTAAAATCTATTACCAAGCAGCAGTGGATAACGTCGTTGGTTCAAACAGCCATTCGTCATGTGCAAGCCTTGCTTTGTACATGTTGTCTTAAATCTTGGCAGCCTGGTTTTGCTTTATAGAAGATGTTGCCGTACAGTTTAAACCTTGAAAATGAAAAATGTTCTTGTCAAATACGTTACTGGGAAGTCAGTTTCAGGTTAGCCTTTCTTTTCTCTTTCAAGACGGTAAGTAGTTCAGAATGCAGGCAGCTCATAAAAGTTATTTGATGTTCCCAGCGCTTGCATTCCTCAGTTTTGTCACCCTCAAATGAGTGACTTGGAGCTGTTGGCCATTTGTAACAATCACAAGACACATATTTGTGCTGCAGCGCTTTTACCTGCTGGCCTCAGCAGTGAGCAGACTGCTTCCACTGGCCATCCCCATGCCCACTCAGGACTCACACTTTAGAGCGGGCATGGTTTTTATCAGATTTATCCATAACGATACAGAGATGCCTTGTGTGTTGGAAGTCTCCAGAAGCCACGCATTTTGGCTGCCTTGCAGTGCCTGAATGCTTTCAGTGCTGGTGGCTTCCCTGCTACCAGCAGCCAGAGGGAGCTCCTCCGGAGCCTCTTGGCCATCCCTAAAACAATTCTGGAGCTCCCAAAGTTAAAAACAGGAAAAAAAAGGGAAGGATGGAATCATTTCCAGCAGGTGTGCATTGGAAGGAGCATGCTTCTGGCATTTTGAGCCTCATATCTGCATTGTTCTGATTATTTTCTTTTTTGTCTCGTCCTCAGTTCCTCACCAAAATCCTCGGTTGGGTATCCAAGTTTCATTGCTGGAATGCGGTGATTTTGTTTTACTTGATTGTTTGCTTTTGGTTGTTGTTGTTTTTGTTGTTTGTTTTTTTTTCCCCTGTAGGACGGGACTAAAAAAATCCCACGTTTCTATTTAAATGTGAAGCAACACTGCTGCTGGCATTCACTGCAACTCGGAGCTGAGTCACAGAATGCACTATTTGCATTTTAAAGGCAGTTCTGGCTCAAGAAGCCTCGTTGAGAGGTGCGCGTCGGGGCGAGGCGCTGGCCAGTCTGCCTCGAACTGCAGCTCACGGGATTTGCAGCACTTCCTAAGGTTTCATGTAAATCCTCCGCATCATCAGGAATAAGAAAAAAAAGTTTTTTTTTTAAAAAAAAAACCAAACCAAAACAAACAAGCGAACATCTGAAACACGAGCGTGCCTGTCGGCACAGCCGAGCTGCCTCTCGCTGCGGGGCGCGGTGACCGGCGGGTTTGGATGTTAGCAGGGTAACAGCCGCAGATCAGCTCCCGCGTTCGGGATGGGAGCCGGCCGCCGGCACCGGGCACCGCTGCGCTCCCGCGGGGCCGGGCGGGCGGCGAGAGGGGCCGGGGACGCCGATGTAAGCTCCGGGCGGACGCACTCTCGACCCCCCGGCGCCTCCCGCCGAGCGGCTCTCGGATCGCGGCTGTCGGCCCGGGGCCGCGCGCGGTGGGGGGGCCCGGGCGAGCCGCCGCCGCCTCTCCTCGTCCCCGCGCGGCCCCGCTGACGCCTCTGCCTTTCCTTCCCGCAGCAGGGCCCGGGGGGCCGCGGCGCCCAGCCGGGCGGCACGGAGCCGCCGCCGCCCGCCGCCCCGCAGCCGCGGGAGCCCTTCGCGCCCAGCCATGGCAGCGCCTTCCACCTGCCCGAGCCCCAGCACGCCGCCGCGCTCTACTACGCCAGCTCCACGCTGCCGGCGCAGCGGGTGAGCTCCCCGCTGCCCATGCAGCCCGGCGGCTCCCCCACCAAGCTGCCGCGGGCCGGCTCCGCCGCCGAGGGCGCCGCCTACGCCGGCGCGCAGCGCCTCTCCTCCCCGAAGCAGTCCCCCAGCCGCCTGGCCAAGTCCTACAGCACCAGCTCGCCCATCAACATCGTCGTCTCCTCGGCGGGACTGTCGCCGTCCCCCATCCGAGTGACCTCCCCGCCCACCGTCCAGTCTAACATTTCCTCCTCTCCTATCCACCAGTTAAGCTCCACCATCGGCACTTACGCCACTCTGTCGCCCACCAAGCGGCTGGTTCACGCTGCCGAGCAGTACAGCAAGCATTCCCAGGAGCTGTACGCCACCGCCACCCTGCAGAGGCCCGGCTCCCTCGCAGGTAAGTGGGGCGGGGGGCCGGGGCCGGGCGGAGCGGGGCGGGGGGCGGTGAGGGCAGGGTGTGTGGCTGCCCGCAGCCCCGTCCTCGGGCGCGGTGAGTCTCCCGACGCGGGGGAAGGAGCGGCTCGGGGCGCTGGGTGAACCGCGGCCGCGGCTCCGGGAGGGATGTGCCGCTGCCGGGAGCCGCCCGCGGAGCGCTGCCCCCGGTGCGGGCATCGGGAGAGTTCGGGAGCGCTCGGCAGAAACTTCTGGGTACAGAGAACTGTGCTGAGACGTCGGCAGCGCTCGTTGGGGTCCGCGTGCGCCTTCGGGAGCTCGACCGGATGCAATTCCGCGGTAACCACGGACTTTGTGCAGACCCCAGAAGCGAGCCGCCGACTCCCTGCTCCCTGAGCCATCTCTGCCACTCCGAGCATCCTTCGGTGGTGGATTTTTGTGTTCTCAAAATTTCCAGTTTCATTGCTATAGTAACAGCTGCTATGCTCATATGTTCTCCCGTGTGACATAAATAGATGTGGAGATAAATAGGATACATTAAGGAGTTGGGCTGTGTTTAGCAGGCAGGTACTTAAGTTTTGTATCAGAGTTAAAACCTCTTCCCTCTGTCACCCACCTCCCCCTCCCCCATCTCCAGCGGCTGTTGGCATGGGACACAGTCGCACTATGAAGTGCCAAAAAATGCAGGTTAAAGGAACAAATAATAAAACATAGCTTTGATTTATCTCCTTTTTTTTTTTTTTTTTTCCTACTTAAAACTTGAAGGAGGATTGGAAAACTTTTTTTTTTTTTTTTTTTTAATATGTAACCCCATTTTTGAAGTTCAGAATGTGTAAGAAGGCAGCATCACTGAGTGATGCCAAAGCAGAGATCCCAGCACAGTTTGATTACTCCTGTTGTCAAGTCTTCATTACCGCCCTTCTCAAACAACTTCTCAAGTGTTTTATACAGCTGTTACATTTTTGTAACTTCTTGCCGGGTGCTGTTGACCAGAAGTATTAAATACTCCCTTTGTAGGACAAATTGAAGATGTAGAGTTCTGTCAGACTTCGTATTTTGGGGAGTTTTGCATCTTCCTGCTATACCAAGAGTTGTTTGAGTCTAAATAGGCATGGAGGGAGCTGTTACTGTAAACAGAACAGAGGAGAATACAGTATGAAATTTATACACCTGTGGATACGCACTGCCAGTATTCCCCTGTTTTTTCTTATCTTTGTTCTCAGAGAAGAGTATTTGGTTATGGAGATTTCTATCGGGCGCAGTCCCTGTTTCCCTTCATTTATGTTTAGCAGTGGTGTTTGTATTGTACTGGGTCTTTCTTTTTGGAATGCATCTCTTATAGCTTTGCCACATTAACCCTGTGATACTACTTGGAATAAAACTTGCTCTACAGGGCTTTAAGGGCCACCATAATGTGTCTGAAGTGCCTCAGCACTACAGAAGCTGTGGAAGCTGTTTATCTTATGCTAGACATAAGCCACAATGTGAAATTGGGCTGGTTTGGGCCATTTGGCAAATCGTGGCCATACACGCACTTATAATGGGGCTTTCTATGTAAATTTGTATAAAAACTACGTTGCTTTTAAATGAAAGCTCTTTGTAGACTTCTGCTGCATCTTGCATTGCGTAGGTACTTCCTTCCCTGCTTCTCTGCAGGACCTATTGAGAGGAGTGGCATGTAACTGATGGACGGGTTGGGAAAGAAAAGCCTATGGGCAGATGCATTCAGGAGATGGGGTGTGTATTTCGGATCTTAACGTGGGGAAAGGAACATTGATCGATCATCTGAACTTGGCAGTACATTTGCAAAACAGCACAAACTTTGCCAAATGTGGTGGCCATTAGAATACACGTCGTGAGTCTGAGTTGCTCTATGTTGTAGGGATTTGCTTTTAACTTAGGCAAAAATCTCAATGTCCAATTTTCTAACAAATGGAAAATCCTACGAGTAAGTGCAGAGTGATAAACGTGCAGAAATAGTATTGCTGCTTTAAACAAACAAACAGTGGAGGCAACAGAGTTTTAGTAAATGCTGTGTTGTTTGGTTTTTGTTTTTGGTGTTTTTTTCCCCCACAGTGATGATATGCCTCTCAAGTAATCCTTGGAAGGATCTCAGTCACATGACCCTTTCTTTTGCAAAAGATCCTTCTTGTGTACTGGCTTCCATTATTTTCCATTAACATTCTGTAGCGTGTTCATTGTGGCCTCCCAGCCATTCAGGGAGTTACGCATCTGCTAACAGTGTTAAGTGCTTGACTAATCTTCTAGACTTCTGCTGGATGCGCTGAAGTCAATGGGCTACTTAGAGGCTTAAAATTAATGTATGCTTTAGAGTTAGACAGGATCAGATGTTGGGGATACTACTGAGGCAGAATTCGTTACTGTATTGTCTCTGTGTTTCTATGAGTGTTTATACTCAGAGCAGGTTTTGTATTTGAACTGTAGGCTTACTGTGTTGTTGCGGGAGTTTTCCAATCATTGCATTAGAAACCAATGAGAGCAAACAATCGTATGTTGAAAAGTTGGTGCCTTGCAAATGGGATTTTTGCTGCTTGTTCATTGCACCCAAAGATAGTTTTTCTTTTGGAGAGGAGGAGGAGTGGGGTGTAGTTGCCACATTGCACTGATTAATGGTTTGCCTACAGTGATTAATGCAAAGTTTCAGTGGTATGTATGTGTCATTGCAGGGGTGATGTTACTCAAACTAATCTTTTTTTATAACCAGGGAGAAAAATATTTGTAGTAATTACTGGGAATACAAATAATGCATTCGTTGTTTGTTTGTTTTCTTTTTTTTTTTTTGCCTGATGTTAGAAATTAGTGCAGGAGCTGCCTGGTTCATGAGTAGTGCTGTGTCTCAAGGTGCCACACAGAACAGTATTGGTGCCAGCGTGAGCTGATTAACGGAGAAGACCTTCAGATGTGATTAACATTTCTTAAAATCGTAGTTGAAAATGTTCGACATAGAAACTGAAACTGTGTAAGACTTGATTGAAGAGATGGCATCATTTATAACAATTTTCTACAAACGAGGTTATAAAAGAACTTGAAATTATAAAAAGGTAATTTTTAGACTGCACCTTGAATTTAAAACAAGACATACAAAAGCATGCAATAACTCAGTTTTAACCAAGTTACTGTGACTGTAACATTGCTAGGCTTATGCTTGGTCTGGCTATTTTGTTGCTAGGAACTGCAATTGCAGTTCTGGCAGTAGCTGTCTGATCTGTGCTGCTCCTACATTTAACTCAGATGGCAGTTCAAGCAGTGTTGTGCATTCAGGAAGCCCAGTCTGTAAATGACAGAATCACAGACTCGTAGGGGTTAGAAGGGACATCTGGAGACCAGCTAGTCCATTCCCTTTCTAAAGCAGGTTCCCTACAGAAACCCAGAACACCCAGGAAAGTGTTCAGGTGGGTTTAGAATATCTCCAGGGAAGGAAACTCCACAGCCTCTCTGAGCAGCCTGTTCCACTGCTCTTCACTCTCACAATAAAGAATGTTTGGAACTTCCCATGTTGCAGTTTTTGCCTGTTACCTTTTGACCTGTTGCTGCAAATTACTGAAAAGAACCTCCATCCACTCGACTCCTGCACTTTTGATATTTATGAACAGTCTTCTCCAGGCTGAACAGACCCACATCTCTCAGCCTTTCCTTGTATGGGAAATGCTCCAAGCCACTAATCATCTTTGTAATACCTTTCTCCATTGCTTGTACCACATGTGGGCTGAGATGCTGTGTGCTGCTTGGTGCCAGTTGGCCAACCTTGCCTGGTGTAAGGGCTGCACAGGGCAAAGGCAACAGAAACATGGGGCTGCTTTTTCTGAGCATTGCACAGCAACTCACTATGCACACTCCTCTGAAGCATCTCCTGCTGGCAAGAATCAGATGCACAATCCGAGAGGTTTGCTTAAGTCCAGAGGGAGAGGAGGCAGTGAAAGGGTGCTGCTGAGGCAGTTTGTGCCTCAGGTTATGTGCTGGGGAGCAGTCCTGGTGTTGCAGAACCTCTCTGCCTCTTCATCCCTCCTAGGGAAGACTAGGGACACCTGTGACGATGGAAGGTGGTTCTAGGCATTGCTTTATTACAAACAGCTCTTAAAAGCTAGAAGGAAAACACTGACAATTATAGAATTATAGAATTGTAGAATGGTTTGCATTGGAAGGGACCTTTACGATCATCTAGTTCCAACCCCCCTGCTATAGGCAGGGACACCTCCCTCTAGACCAGGTTGCTCAAAGCCCCATCCAGCCTGACCTTGAACACCTCAAGAGAGGGGGGCATCCACAACCTCACTGGACAACCTGTTCCAGTGTCTCACCACCCTCACAGTAAAGAGTTTCTTCCAAATATCTAGTCTAAATCTACCCTCTTCCCGTTTAAAACCGTTTCCACATGTTCTGTTGCTACCTGCCCTTACAAAAAGTCCCTCCCCAGCTTTCCTGTAGGCCCCTTCAGGTACTGAAATGCCACTATAAGGTCCCCCAGAGCCTTCTTTTCTCCAGGCTGAAGAGCCGCAGGTCTCTCAGGCTGTTCTCATAGGAGAGGTGCTCCAGCCCTCTGATACGTTTGAAGACTGCCTCATATTCTCTCAGCCCAGTGAAAAGGTTAGGTTTAAGAAATGTGTGTTGATATGAATCACTCTGTGTAATATTAGGTGTTAAGAACCTTATGCAGCCATTCTTTGTGTCATTATGACATGTAGCATTGAGACAAGAGCTGGAATGTGCCATAGACACTCTTGATATCACTTATAAAACAAACCTTCATGCTTCCTCTCCTGTTTGCAAGCAGAACCTTCTTTCTGGTCTCTGTAAAATAAGAAAGAGAAGTCATTTGTCCTTTCTGAGTTAGAACTGTGTGTGTGTGCAGTATTAACATTACAATATTGTGATACTGACAGAAAAATGTGGCATGAGTTCATATAGAAATATGCTTTTTAGTCTTTGTAGTGCAAAGAGCTGTAAGTTTATCAGGATCTTAACTGATTCCTTCTGCTCTTTCAT